CCCATTCCTTTCCATTTCTCTTTTCCTTCATTCCTTCATCCTTCTCTTCTTCTTCATTCCTTCATTCCTTCATCTTCCTCTTCATTCCTTCATTCCTTCACTTCATCCTTCATTCATTCATTCATTTTCATTCATCATTTCTTCATTCCATTCTTCATTCATCACTCATTCATTCATTTCATTCATTCATTCAAATCTTCATTCATTCATTCATTCATTCATTCATTCATTCATTCATTCATCATTCATTCATTCATTTCCTTTCATTCCTTCCTTCCTTCCTTCATTCCTTCTTTCTTATTCCTTCATCATTCCTCTCCATTCATGGCATTCATTCATTCCTTTCATTCTTCATTCAATTCATTCAATTTCCTTCATTCATTCATTCAAAACACAGATGGGGCAATAAAGTCGTTCTAGTTTGCATCGTAGCTGCATTAATGCGGCGTAGACAATATTCAGTTGCAGTTGTCCGTAACATTCCGAGCAGTAAATACTTCCGCACGAACACCTTTGTGTCGTACCGGGTGGAGCCGGATCCATTCTTCCGACTTCACAACAGTCTGCTTTTCGGCCGCGATCGCAAGGATCCATACATGTACCAGCACAACTGCATGCATTTGGTTCTCAGTCCACTTGTGCCTGCTCCTAGCCTTGTGTGGCTTGTATTGGTCTCTCCGTGTCGTCGTGTCGATTGAACCAACCATTCGAGTTCGTGGATCGCCACCGTGGATCGTCACCGTGGATTTCACCGATTGGAGCCAGAGGGTACAGTTGATTTTCCTCTGAGAGCTTCCTGATGCTGCATTCTTGTAGCAGATCCCTGTAATGATAATAGATGTGGTTACTGGTTGAGTTTCATGGGTTAGAACATTCCTCCGGTGAAGATTCAATGATTCGAAGCGGTGCTGGTTTAATGCTCGCTCCTTAGCGGTGGACACACGAATACGTGCCAGTACATGTACTAGCTACTAGAAAATCGAAATTGACGGCACACGCCTCGAGATCGACGCTACAGTTGTACCGTTCGTACCGTACGGTACCGGTACCATACATTGTTCGGGAGAGTACCATACCGCATTTCTCGCGATCTTCGCCGCCGTGCCACTACCAAGCTGCAGTGATGAAGCCACCTCCAGCTGGACCCCAGTTGAAGATACGAAAGTGGTTCCTTCCCACTTTGCGTTCGTGCCCACACCGAATGGACCAAGCTATGAACCAGCTAGCTAGCTAGTGTTCACACCAGCAGCTGTTGGATAGACTAAAGCTTGACCGATTAAGACTCGGAGCTAGCTCGGAGCTCGGAGTAGAGAACGCACAAAAGGAAATGACAGGTCTTATTGACAGGTCACAGCGGCACAACGGTTCCTAGACCTAAAGCCTTGTCGGTATTATTGCGGGGTCTTTGGTAAGACTTGTGCATAATCCATTTTTCAGTCGCTCAAATAAATGCCTCCTTTGGTAGATAAAGCAAAGTCCTTCCGACCTTCCATAAAGCTTCGGCTTGGTAAGGTCATCTAGCTAGCTAGAGCTACTGGATAGAAGACTGTAGCTAGTAGCTAGCGACTGCTTCATCGATATCAAAAGAAGTTGTCACCTTGTCACATTGTCACTGCGGGACCACCTCGGCCAAGGGCCAAGGCAGCTTGTGAGCCACTTGTAAAGGCTGCAGCACGGTACAGTAAAACCAGTCATGGATCTCATTATTGCGTGCAATATTGTACGTAGTCAAGTACAACGGGATGTGGGTACCGGTATGGAGGTACGTGGCGCAAATATCAATCCTTGCACAGGCACAAGCCCATTGAGATTTTATTAAAATAAGGCGATAACGTTGCCCAGAAACATCGAAATATCTTTGTTGTCGTGTCGTGTCTTTAATCCATTTACCCACGGAATGTCCCGGGTTCTGGATAGTGGATGTCTTTTTGCTTTGTCGCCTCTATCTGCCACTACACCTTTAAACCTCGACTACTATTACTTAATAGCTAGTAGTCTACTTTAATTAAGGTACTCGTACTGTACCGTCGAAGAGCTCGATAATAGGTACAGTACTCGAGTAGATTGACACAACTATTGATACAGTACGGTACTCTAGCTACCGGTAGTAGAGTAGATACGATACGCACGGTAGCTCATACGGTAGGTAGTGTGACATCGAGGAAAGAAACACACACACGTGGTGCAAATTAATTATCAATGCTTGCCCTACCGGTAGGCCTAAGCCGTACAAACCGGAGATAAGGAAGTCACTGAAGGGTTCGTTGGAACTCCATTCTTGGTTCAAGGTGCACTTGATTGTTCAACCGAAAAAACATTACGACCAAGTGCTCTTATGTCTATGCTTTTCAGTCTCATGACTCTAAACAATAAATCTATTCAGACACTCTTGCCTGTCTGTTTCCTATTCCTACTGGCAAGGCATTTCAAGGGATCTTGCTTTTAATACAAGTGGGAGCTTTCGTGTTACTGACTTTTCTTAGAGGGATCACCAGACTCACCAGTTAATGACACAAATGACTTTCTGATTTATGACGTGGTTGCTTGATTACTTCATAAAGCCGCGACATATTGCATAGAAGATCTCTGGCTTCAAAAGCTCTGACGCTCTTGCATGTCTGTTTTCCTATTCCTAACTAAAAGGCATTTCAAGGGATCTTGCTTTGTCTCTGATGACCTTTCGTGTTACTTTTATTAGAGGGATAACCCGATTGAATCATTTCACCAGTTATAGCACAAATGACTTTCTGATTTATGACGTGGTTGCTTGAGAACTTCATGAAGGGACATACGAAGCCCAGCTTTTGCTCAAGATCTCTGGCTTCAAAAGCTCTTCAAACAACCACCAAGAGGTGGAATGGCTCACAATTTTGGATCCACTTCCAACAGCAACATCACATACACAAAACACAATCAACCAACATGATGAAATCTATCCGCTCCAGCTTGTTGATGAAGAAGAAAGGAATGCGCAGCAGCGATGTTGTTTTGCCTACCGAAGACGCCTCAAGCCAAGAAATGTCTGAATCGAGGGTGGATCAGTCGCTAAGGGAATCCAGCAAGAAGAATCGCAAGTCGACGAGGTCTCGCTCGTCCAGTACCAGATCCTCGAGCCGTGAGAGCGTGCGGCCCACGGACGTGCTTGAGATGCTCGAGTACATGGCTGCCCAGGATCCCAGTCAGGCCGGGGACTTCTTCAAACACTTGAAGGAAACACAGTTGAGCGATCTCTAAAGAGGCAAGCAAGCACATTGGAGGAGAGGACGGGTCTCTTCCTTATGAGCTATTTTGACCAGAACAATTTTGACCGGAAATGTAACATAAAACTAAGAACTGCATATTATTCCAAAACGTTCGTTGCAGCTGTAGAATTAGCGGCGCAGGTGCTATGGTGATACCGTTCAATTGCAGCAACCGGCGGATTGGTTTCGCCTTTCGAGTGGCCAAGGAGTCTTGATACAACCGTGGCGGTCTTCTCGGCAGCCGGTACTTGACGAAGCAACTATGGGACGCGTGCTGCCGATGCTGATCAGGATACATCTTTGGTGGTTCATCTCTGGGTGGTACCACAAGGACACCGGGCGGAAGAGGACCATCAAAGCCCACTGGTCGTGTCACCGCAACAGATCTGGAAAAAGGAGAGCTCACTACAAGCTACTAGTATGCAGTTCCGCAAATGGTGGCGTAAGTTCGTGATCTGTTCGGATCGACGAATGCAACCAATTCTAAATGTCTACAGCTACATTACAGAGGCAATCTGTTCTCAGGTTGCTTCATTCCCCCTCCACGACACAGGTTGCGATCTCCTTCTCCAGCAGGTCCCGAAATGATCCCCTTCTGGAGCTGTCCGAAATACGGGACCGTCCACGGAGGGCGTAGCTGTGTGCAGATGACTTCACTTGAATAAAGTCATACGAGTTTTGCATCAGTTTGACTTTCTTGTGAGCTCCCCATTCATTGTACAGACTGGGAGCAGATGAAAGGAAAAGCGATATGTGAGCGGCACACCCAATTTCGCTCCGGACTTACCAGCACGCCTTTTGAAGGTAACACTTCGACCAGTCGTGAGCTTGCTGATCTTCAAAGTACTCGCCCAGACGCTCGTTGCCAATGGCAGCCAAGTGCAGAAACCCCGCTCGAGACCACCGCAGCATCAAACCTTTTCTTCACGTTAGCCGCCGAAACACGAGGCCATGCAACGGTGGACATGATTGCCTCCAACAATTGGTGAAAGATGCAGGCGTCTGATGAGCCATCTTTCGCAGCCGCCTGGAGTCGTTTCATTGCTTGTTGCGTTTGGGCCTTGTACTTTCGTTTGTTGCGGTGGAGGAACAATGCCACTCCTGCCATCCCCTCGATGACGTCAAAGAACAAGTTCATGAAGTGGTTCCCAGGGAACCTTGGAGAGACCTTCTTCATGCAATCGCGAAGACCCTTCAAATCCCTGAGAATGCACCTTTCGAAAGCACTAAACTTAAAAAGTAATGCTTGTGGAGGTTGTCCTTCTGTGAGGGAAGCAAGGTCCATACTGTCGGGGAAGTATCCACCTTTGAGCAGAGCGTCCCATGTCATGGGGAATTCTTCGTGAAGAGGGCTGGAAAGATTTAGTGCCATTTGAAGGCCCGGAACGACATTGAGGTTACAAAAAGCTTGCTGAAGAAGCTCCAACTGACTCCATATCTTCCTCATGTCTTCAATGTATGCCTTCAGCGATAAGCCACTCATAACATACAATTGTGCCTGACGGCGTCACGAAAGCATCATGAATCAATCGGCACAGCGAAAGAACCATGTTAGAAGAAGCTGAGCAAGCTTATTCGGTTGTTGGCTGTTGAGTCGAGATGTGATACGTACGTGGAGGGTCATACAAATTCCTCCAAAGGCAATATCACCAACTTCCAAACCTGTGCGGTACCCAGCGAGACTCGGTTCTAGGGACCTACCAAAAGGTTCTTTGATGTGCGCCAAGAAACTGTAAATGTTGATACAGGTACCTGGGAGCGATGCTCGATCTCCCGACACCTTGAGGGCAAGCTATGAGAATCGGTACGCCTCTTGCTTTTCGTTGTTTACCATATTGGCGAGCACGCAGCCAAACCCAGACAAGGCAAAGCCACCCGTTTCGCGAAGATGGCCAAACCGTAAGGTAAGCTCCATCATTTTCAAAAGACACACAAGTTGGCAAAATGTGCATCTATGGCAAATCCGAATGGTATGCCGAATTTGAGGAGCTTCATTGCTGACATTTTTAATTCGTTGGTCATTGGAGGCAGGTTCAGCAGGTCCTCGTCTGACATTCCTGTTACCAAACCCTTCACCATTTGGTATTCTTTTCGAACGGCGCGTGGATTGCTGGGTGCTAGTGTTTCTCCACAAAGAGTGAGGACTTCCCTTGCCTCCTGAATGGCCGAAACCCACTGCATGCTCCATCCATATGCATGTATGTGATCTGGCCGCCTTGGCTCCACGTGCATCCTCCGGTTTGCGGGTGTGCCCCAAGACAATTGTCGCCAATTCTTGGCTCTTATCTAGATTTCCTCGTGATGCTTCCACTTCGACAGCCTTGGCGTAAATGTCTAGCTAGTAGCAAATGATAAGTGGCATCATCTCCGCTCCAATCCGATTCTTTGGACAAGGCAATGGCCTTTTGCAAAAAGTCCGTCATGAGCACGACACTCGATTTTGTCGCAGCAACTTGGCTGGCATGTACGGTAGGTTGAGCCGTATCAGCTCTATGCGTTCCGCTTCATTGGCAAGACAAGCCGATCCTCGATTGAGTTGATCTGCGGCCACAAAGACGAACCGCTTATTCTTGTCCTTGACCACCACAGAGTTGTCGTACACTACCCGACCAATTTTCCAATGCTATTGATCGATCTCGACTGGCAGCATCTTGTATCAAGTTGATTAATTGCTGATTCTTGTACTCTTGTCGTGAGAGAATCGCAAGGTTCGCCCTCCAATGATTTCGACGAATCCTTCCTTTTCGGCTGCGGCGAACAATTCATCATTGTTGCATTTCGTTTCATCACTACATTGGCCGTCCGTCTTCTTTTGCATCATCCTCAAACAACAACAAAGACGGCAGTCCCAACAACAGTTCCAATAGATCGATCGATACTGATGTGGTATCCCACAAAGGCAGCCAGCGTCAACAATCGTCTCACCGACGTTGGCAAGGATTCCTGAAATTCGACTCGATCAGCACGATGGATGCGACATGCTCCGACACATTGGTTTTCTGTATGTACCAACGAAGCATTCCGGTCCCAAGACAGCGTGGCGTAATTGTATGTCAAAATGGTTTTGCGTTCGAAGGTATTGAATGGCATAGTAGGCATTGCCGTGCGTCTTGCGGTGGCGGCCAAATCGGTCAGACTATCGCTGTTGTTGTTGTAATGGTCGTGCCGTAATACTTCGGCGAGTAAATCTTGTATTTATGCGAGACCGAGATTGGACACGTGTATCTCGCATGCTGTGGCCTTGTAGCAGTTTTTCTTGGAATCGATCGTTGTCGTGTGTCAATTGATGTGTGCCTGTTCGTCATCTCGAAAACATCCGACAATCAGTAAATTGGATATATCATTGTTGTTGGCCAACATGGCGAGCAGATCCAGCGAACTGGGATCGGCCCACTAGGAATCGAATCCGGTGTGTCAGAGACAATATGGGGTACAACCATGCCAAACTGACATCTTGACGTCCGTACCTGAATGTCATCGACAAGAATAATGAGAGGTCGCTCGGGGCAACAGAACTCTGCCAAAACCACCCGAAAGGCCACAGCGAGGCGTTCGGACGCCATGGTCATGAAGGATGGCTGTGTTCTTGTTTGTTGTTCTTGTTGTTGGCTGCTGCAGGAAATCCTCTAGAGTTCCTGAAAGGAAGGAATCAGTTGTACCAACAGTCCGCCTTCCAACGATAGACACTCTTTGAGCGTCTCCACCAGCTCTGGCTGGTTTGCGTCCAGTAGACTATTTGCTTGCCCAGAGCATCAAAATTAATGCGTGCACTAATGCCGAATATTACGGAGAGGCAAAAGCTCTTGTATTGATCATATATATTTCCCAGAGATGGAATAGCAGCAGCACATATTGGCAGTATCATGCTCCTTATTGTTGGGCAGAAAACAGCACATCTTCCACAAGAGACGTCTTTCCCACTCCACTGTTCCCGTAGACCAACAACGTCTTTGTGCCCGTGGTCTTGCCGGAAGAAAGCTGTCGTCGTAGTTTCAACAGCAACTCCACTTCCTTTTCTCGACCCACCAAGGGGATATCGCTGTCGAGAAGCAACTCCATTGTTGTCTTGGAAATCTACTAGCTAGCTAGCTAGTCTAGCTAGTAGTGGATGGACAGAGTCGAGTCGAGTCTTCTTGGGCCGCCGCTGGAGTGGCACAGGATGCTCCAGCTAGCTAGAGCTCGATCATACCGGTAGTGGCGGGTACAATAACAACTGCATGGAGCGTTGCCGACGACAGCTGTGAAGCCTTGATCCCTTCTTTGCTCAATCATTGACATCGCTCATAGGATGGAGAGAGAGAAGGACACGAAAGTTGTTGTTGATGATTGACCGCCTTGCTGCATTAACCTTGCGAAACTTCAAGCTGACGTCACACCGCCAACAGATGTTCGACGAGTGGAAGCAATGATGGTCGCGAGAGAGAACGATCGAGAGAACCAAAGAATCTTGGGCCAACTCATACTGCAAGATCCAAGCTTGGAGCAGCTCTTGGAGCCATTGCCGAAGCTGCACAATACAACAAGGAATTCAACATGATGGTGTCGTCGTCAAGATTGGCCGTTGCCGTGCTTTCCATCGGACTTCTGTGTGTCTGCCATGGTTTCGCTCCGTCCGCACTCCCAAGTCGGCTTCATCAGCCATCTAAAAGCAGCAGCAGCATGTTGCAAATGGGTCTGGACGTGGTGACCTATCTTCGAACCGAATGGGTCTCGGCTGCCTTGGTGACGAATCAAACGCCTCGTTCGGCCGACGTCTGTCTTCAGTTGGGAACCCAAGATGGTCGCGCCGTGCAGTTTGTGCCTCGTACGGTGCGAGAAATCATCACCTCCTCGGTCGAGACGGATGGCGTCTTGCCCGTGTCGACGCGCCGACAACTCAAGCAACAAAAAGAACGACGATCGGGATCGGCCAAAATTAATTACATTGATCAGCGCGCCGATGACTTGAAAGAAGTGGCCAATGAAAGTGTCGATGTCGTGATTAGTCTGCAATCCGCCGCGGTCATGGCCGAAAATGGGTTGGATTGGAAAAACAGTGTGAAAGAAGCTGGACGTGTGCTAAAACATGGTGGAAGATTTATTTTTGTAGAACAAACCATGCTGGGAGGAGAAGACTATATTGATTTTATTGGAAATTTGAGACCACCTCGTGACACAACAACAACAAAAAGTGCTGATAGGGAAGAAGAGGAGGATGACTTTAGCTATGCTCCCCTCTTTGAGCTTGTGGGATTTGATGATGTCGATCTGGTATTGGAACCTCATGTGGCGGGAGTCTTTGCCAAGTCGGAGATTGCTGGAATGTCCGTCGACCAAATGGAGAAAAAAGAAGCCAACAAGGAAAAGGAACGTCTGGAAGACTTGTCCCTGGCGGCCTATGAACGTGGCATCAAAAAGCGCAAGAGGAAAAAGAAACCAAAGAAAGGAGAAGCAGCAGCAAGCACCGAATCATCAGCAGAGTAATAAAGCAGCAGCAAGGTTTTTAGATCCCAGTTACTACCGATATATCGTATGGTGGCACAACAATTTATTCCAAGCATTTTCACACGCCTCGTTGCCCCAAAACCACTATGATAGCTAGAGGCGTCATCCAAACTTCCTTCTTTTGCAGATTGTAATCCAATGGGACTTGTGACCCTTCTGAACTTCTCGACTCAAAGCTGCGCCAAAGGGCAATTCATTCTTTTGAAGTCCAGTCGAGCGAAACTCGCAGCGTCGTCGATTGGCTGGGACACAGTGATCCCTCTACTAGCTAGCTAGCGAAGCCTGAAAAGCGGATTGTCTGGCTGGGCAACCGATTGTCTTTGACCTGGCCCTCGAGGTGGAAACTGACATCTCCGAGGTTTGATAGCAAGTGCTTTGTAATCGGAACGAGGGATCAGTCGACTTTGGGGGACTAGGACTTGGTTTCTCTTTCCTTCCGCTATCAGTGCACCGTAACATGCATGGGCTTCTAATAAGAACCCATGAAGGAGCTCGTTCCTTCTTCTTATCACTTCTATTTCAATATATTGGTTGAGTGATAATAAATATACCGGTATGCATCTCTCATCAAAGCTTGATGCTCCAGACGACCTCGACCGTAGGTTCTTGGTCCGAGAGTGATAGTTGGCAGCTTTGATGGTTCAAACACGACCATGCAGTACCGGTACCGGTACCAGTACTTAGACGAAACAAATCGCATGCCAAAGGCTGAGCCCACGCTCACAATTTGTGCGAGAAGGACTTGCGAGAGGTGGGGTGGAAGAGAAAGACTCCTTTGGCGAGAAGATATGCGAGAGGCGAGAGGTGGAAGCCGAAACTATCCAAACACCTCCGCCTGAAACCTGAACTGCATTGGATTCTTCGCTATTGGTGCAACAGTGCTTCCCTTGCTATCATATCGAAACCCATGAGCAGAGGACCGAGAAACTCAACAGAATTGTCAACATGACGATGCCACTCCTGAACTATGGGGATCCGCGGCCGAGTCCGTTGAACCGAGACCTGACAAAAACAATCCACAATGTGAAACCATCTCAAGCGTCTCCTCCTCATCGAGCACTCAGTGTCAATAACAAGAAGAAGAATGCTCAGAAAGATCCATCCATGATGATGAGCACTACGGAGCGCCTAAAGGCGTGCTTGAAAGACAATTGCATGACCGATGTGGCATTGGTAGGCGACGATGGAGTTCCGATCCCAGCCATTCGCTGTGTCCTGGGGAGTGCCAGCCCTGTCTTGAAGCAGATTCTCTACACAACCTCATCAAAGCGTTCACGATATCGTGGGTCGCCGGACGATACCTTGTGCATCAGCACCAGCAGCGGAACCTTGACAACCAAAGATGAAGACGGATTTGTCATCACATTGGAACCTCAGAAGAGTCGCGTGGTTCATATACCTGGTTTTCGTGGGAAAACTATCAACGCTCTTGTGGAGTACTGTTGTAGCGACAGTGATCTTCACCAAACAACCTTTTTCAAGTCCATGTTTCAAGATCCCATACAACCAGCAGAGGGCGCCAGAAGTTTAAAGTTCTCCTCACTCATTCCCATAGATCCAGCACAATCTGTCATTGACATGCTGGACTTTGCTCAGTTAGCCATCAATTATGAAATCCCAAAGGTTCCACAGAAAGTCGTGGACGATTTTGTTGCTCCACTTACCAAGAGATTTCCACCGTTGGCTTGTCTCGTCATGAACTATTTGCTGACTGTGGAGTTCGCGGTTCGACCAGGTCAACCCCAAGTGAATGAATCGGCTACCAGCGGCTCGTGGAACCTCTCAAAGTCGGATGGTTCCCTGACAGAAGAATCCCCGGGCTTCGCCATTTCCAACTCATCGCAAGAAGCCAAGGATGCCGAGAAGGTCATTTCGGCGGCAGCAGCCTTGTCCAAGCTTTACACCACATCACTGAACATTATTCGAACGCAGCCTTATGCTGCACTGGAACCATGGAATCGGGATACCGCTACAGCGCCTCCTTCCTCGGCGTCCTCGACAAGTAGCGGCTACAGCAGCAGCGGTGGCATTTTTCCAGGCCACACTGCTCCCGAAAGCGTGACGTCGGAGTCTGTGCAAAGTGTTGGTGGTGTCTTGGTACTACAAGCCGAAACACTGAGCAAGATCGTGCAAGACACTGAGATTGAATGCGACGAGTTGTTTTTGTTCAAGCAATTGGTCCGCTGGCACAACCACCACACATCGCACAATTATCCAGAGCATCACGAGACACTGCACCAAAGACACACCAATGAATCAAAGAACACGGACGATGTTATGCCACAGCACAAGATAAACAACACTCTTCAGCAAATGGTGAACGGCATCAGGACATCCATAGATCAAGCTGCCATGCCATCCAAAACAGACAGTGACGAAGACTCGTTCCAGTTCCAGGCCAACTTTAACGATTTCTTGGTCTCGAACGCAGATACCAGGTCTTATTCTTCTGGCAAGACGCATCTGGTCAGTGAAAATCGTAGCAGCAAGGAAGAGTCAGAAAATCAATGGAAGCTAATCACTGCTGTGAGAAAGTCAAAGTCGCAGCCTACGACAGTACCAGCGGATAGCGATACCTTTCGTTCTATGGCTCAATCTACAACTTGTTCGGATGACTATTCATGCCCGGATCCAACTGCTGTATGTCGCGAATTGGTTCGTCATTTGGATTTGGCAGCGATCGACCCAGTCCCTTTGAAAGAGATTGTGTCAACTGCCGAGTTTGTGGACCCTAAGCTCGTCATGGATGCTCTCTGGCAACAAGCCACTCTGGCGAGCCGACAGGGTGGACTTTCCTTTGGTTCTATTGTTCGTGGCACGGGAGGTCCTGGACTTGCTTTGCCAGGACTCCTGTCTGACTTGACGCCCAACAAGCAAAAAAAGAAGGGACCGCCCGAACACCAATACTACAAGTCTCACATCCTTGTGCAAGGAGCCGGAGTTGAAGAATGCAATGGAATCTATGTGCAAGTCATAATGCAGCAAACGCCGAACAACGATGCAGTTAAAGTGCAAGAAAAGCCGTATCAGCAGTCCAAAACGTTGACTGGTCTCAAGACTCTCCGAGATATCCCAACGCTGCTGAGCGCTGTTAGCGAGACAAGCGAGACAACCTCTAGTTCTGACTACGCGACAGGTCCTCAACCCCCACCACAAACCGGTGCAACTCAAACTACACCTACACGAACAATAAGGGAGATTCCTCCAGGCATTTGTTTGCGATTCATCAAACAAACCAAGCGCAAACAACAACATAAAGGCAAGACATGGTATCTGGTTTGTCGGCGTGAGGTTATCGACGAAGACGATCGCTGTAGTCCAGTCTCGTTCCAGCACCAATGGAGCGTAATCGAACAAGACAATCGTGACGGAGGGCAACTTCGTGTTTTGTACGAATGGGAAAATGATGAAGAAGCTCGCGATCCCTGGAAGTGTGATACACCAATGTCTAGCAGGCAAAAGGCCTCTGCCGCTGCTCCTCTAGTTGTGCTTGATTCGTCATCGCTTCAGACATTCCCTGAACGTGGCTGGTCATGTGTGCGCAACCGCTACTTTCCTCCGCCAACCTGTCAATGGTTTCGACCACGACATGGATCTCCTCTTTTGGTTGTCCCACCGGTCAAGCTGATAGAAAGGAAGGTGCCGATAGCACACAACCCACGGATCAGGCCTCTTCCTCCTTTTCCGAGACCCAAATCTGGCGCTCTTTTGGCCAAAACATCAGAATCGTTGTTTGGCTTGTCGTTATTGTCAGCGTCAGGAGACTCGGAATCAGAGTCACCTAAAAGCCGCAGAGTCAACATCACCGTAACCAGGAGGGACGAGAAGAGTCGTTGCGCGACAACCGTGGGCAATCAGACATCCACAAGCAGTAGTTTCCAAATTCAGAAAGCACGGAATCGAGTCAGCCTGGCTGATGCCTCCCTCGAGACCTCGGCACGAGGAGAAGATTCTAATGGAAATTGTATCGAAATCTAAGCTAACATATATATAAGTGGAGGAACAAGTTAAATCAGCACTTTGCACTGTTCACAAGACTTGCACCACATCATCACCACAGATACCACAGCCACTCGATCCTCACCAATTTTCACAGCTCACTGATAAAACCAAGCCACATTTCTGGGCAGCCATTTTACGAGTCCAACAAAAAGCAACCAGCTAGCTCCATGACAGGCCATGCAGAGAGGGCCATTTGTCCACTCTATGACTTGCAGCTGGCCACCCTCAGTGACTCGTTTACATGTGCACTCACCCCAGGACCATCCACCCTCAAGCAACCATATAGAGTTTCCAATTGTCCACCTTTGAGCTGCAACAGAGCAAGTCCAAACATCCCAGGGACGGCCATTCCCAAGGGTCCATTTCAAAATCTCCAAATGACCATTGTGAGCAGCTTGTTGGCAAGCTTCAGCATCCGATGCATGGACATCCATGAGGCTCATTTCTGAGGCTCATTTCTGAATCGACCTTTTGCATCCGAAACGTCTCCCCACACCATCACAATCCCACAGCGTGGAAGAACCTTGGATGTTCCGCGTTGGCAAGATGATGGCTGCTGGGACCATGGGCGATGCCTGATACATTAGTGTCATCCTTCATCATCATTGTGAGACCCAGGGCAACCATTGTCGCGCAGCCACTGCATCACTTCCCATTGGTTATTCATTTCTGCATTATAATATGTCTCTTCATGCCATGGGCAACCATTTTCACGAGCCCACTTCACAACTTCCAAATGGTCATTCTGAGCAGCATAGGTACATGTATCTGCATCCCATGGACACCCATTTTCATGCAGCCATTGGAGCATTCCCAAATGTCCATTTCCAGCAGCAGCGGTACATGTGTATGCACTCCATGGACAACCATTTCCACGAGCCCACTTTAGAATTTCCAAATGGCCGTTTAGAGCGGAAACCTCACATGTATCTTGACTCCACGGACAACCATTCTCTCGTAACCACTGGAGCATTTCCAAATCTCCATTTTGGGCAGCTCCAGCAACATGCTATCCTCATCCATGGACAACCATTTGCACAGCCCACTTCAGAATATCCAAATGGCCACCTTTAGCGGCTTCTTCACATGTCCTTGCATCCATGGACATCCATTTTCATGAGCCCATTTAAATTCCAAATTCCACCTTCAGCAGCATATACGCATGTATCTTCATGCCATGGGCAACCATTTTCACGAGCCCACTTTAGAATTTCCAAATGTCCATTTTCAGCAGCCTCATAGGCACACCCTTGTTCATCACATGGATCCATTTGCACGAGCCCACTTCCAAACTTCCAAATGACCACCTCCAGCAGCACAGAAGCATGTCCCTTCATCCCATGACAACCATTTGCACGAGCCCACTTAAATTTCCAATGACCATCAGCAGCAGCCACTTGACATGTCCCTTCATCCCATGGACAGCCAGTTTCATGAGCCCACTTCAAATTTCCAAATGTCCATTTTCAGCAGCAGCGGTACAGTTGATTCATCCATGACAACCATTTGCACGCAACCACTTGAGAATCTCCAAATGACCATTCAGCAGCAATGACTGCATTTTCCATGGACCCTTCTCTCTTAACCATTGGACATTTCCAAATGCCATTTTCAGCAGCTCTAGCACATGTATCTTCATTCCATGGGAATCCTTTTTGTCGTGCCCACTGCATGACAGTAAGATTTCCAATTTTGGCAATTGCAGTACAAACTTGATCATTATCAGGTTTCTTATTGCTGGAATGATTGTCCTTGAGCAGTATTCTGCACGCAGCAGGTTACAGAATGTTTCACTGTAAAGAGTATCAGTGTTTCTGCACAGCGATCATCCTCCACGTACGTGTGTGCCTCTGGGTTATCCTTTACCTTTCTTGGATTTTTCTTGAGTTCAATTTTGCAGTACTCTTTGTACAGTTGATTCATCTTCTTGTTGACAGGTCCCACAAAAGCATTCTGTCCAACACCCACAAACGATAGAATCTGTCCACTCCAAACTAAATCATCAGCAAACAAAAGAGGAGACTCGGTAGTAGTAGCAGCAGCAGTATGAGTAATAGTACTAGTACTAGGAGCAGTTGCAGTACTCATGGTGCTGTTGTATAGCAGTGGCTGCTGTGGTTATTGTGGTGTGTGGTGGCATGTAAGAGTACAAGGCGGACACTCTGGTTGGAAACGACCTGGGGGAGCTTTTGAGATCCAGCCGGGAACTGGCGGAAGGGTGGCGGAAGCGCTGCAGTATCATAGCAGCGCCATGGTATCGTATGGGTGTACGGAGCTCACTCAGCCGGTTTTAGCGTTTTGGCCCTCATGGCTTGGACGCACATTTGGATTGGAAGATGTAACCCCGACCGTTGAGGGGCGTCAGTCGAACCCACCAACGGAACAACTTTCTTTGTTATCATGTGTTCCACCTGCCACCAATGTGCCCACCACGGCCCATTACTTCCATCCAAGACCATTGGACAACAGGAGGACCCCCTTGGTTGTTGCAATGACAAAGTACCCTGGTCTCCTGCTTCTTGGACTATTGGCAAGTCTTGTGCTGCTGTTGACAGGATCACGGTACCACGATGTATCTTCTTTGGTGGATGCGTATCGAGGACTCCGGGAAGCGTCGCCTTTCGAGCACGATAAACCCAACCAACGGAGTAAGCCACGGGGAGATGTCAGGGTTGACTTTTACCGCATGTACGACGAGAAGGAGCTGCTTGGCATCCCCTACCGAGATCACGTCATATCCAAATGGCGTCTCTACGTGCAAGTCTTCCTCTTGAACTATTGGTACAATGGTCGAGTACGATTTTTCATGGGCGATATCTACAGCTTTGGCGACCCGGACGGCATTTACGAGGAACCGGTCAATTGTTTTGAGGGAGCACTCGAGTTTTCCTTTTTAGGCAATGGCTATATCCAGAACGCCAATCACGTATCCGTCTTGATAGTGAAACGATTGAACGAAAATCTCTTTGGATGCGTCAATCCCATCAACGTGCCATTGGGCGGAGTGGTTGGGTTTGCTCCTGCCATGGTCTTGGGCATGTCCAACGAAAACACTGCCGTTGTGAGTTCGACGACTGCTGGAATCAACCACATTGCAGGGATACTGATATCACATGAAATGGGACATGTCTTTGGGTACCAGCATACATCCGTGCGGGATGAAGAATTAGTGGTCCGGTATCTCTCGGGTTTCTGCGGACTCAACCTTCGATATCCGCAATTCAATTCAGAAATCACAGAAGCATTGAACGAGATTGTGTGGGATATGGTAACTGGTGAACGATATGATTACGAAGACTGGAAAGGTCGAACCAACATTATGTCCGATACTGTTTTCAACGCTTTTCAACTAACATCCGTTTGGAAGGTGGGCATGTACGAGAAGCAATACAAGCCAATCTTTGAGACGATACTCGATTGTTGGTTCAATCGATCGAAAGTTCCAATCCAATACAGAAATGAATCAGAACCCGAAATCTCCTTTGAAGACGGGGGGTTGTACTGAACATGAGATATGCATGCAAAAGTGGTGTATGCGTGCACGCAGTGTGTTGCTATCGTGCTGATTGGAACTCGTCTCGCCTCGTCTCGTACAGTCGTCTCGTGCAGGCGAGGAATTTCAGCCGCAATGGAAGCTCTTGGAGCGAACCGGCTCCAGCATACAGGAAATGTAAAGGTTGCAGCTCCGTAAGATGCGCGCCTCAGGACTCAAAATACCCAGGAGATTGTGAGGACGAGCCAAGTATCAGCTGGCCACTGACAGCATTGAAGTTGAATCTGACTCATGACGACAATCAGCAAGCAACTGTATCCCCAAAATCAGCCATTGCTACTCTGCCAGCTCATCATAAAAGGACCCCGTTGATGCGGGGCAGCCACACTTAGACTAGGGTGGGTTCATTGGACATTTATGCATCTTTTTTCGTCCCCAAGGGCCAAACATCTACTGCCGGTAGCTATATACGACTATACGTGTACCGATATTTGCCCAAAGCCTATAAGTCACATCTATCACATCTATCATCTAGCTAGCACTGGAAGAGCTAAGATAGGGTTGATGCGATGGATACCGTACGGCACCTGTTCATTTTGGAAGGGATGTGACCGCCTGGACTCTCCCCTTCAATTGCCGTTTGCCCAGCAGCCAACAGGGCCTCCTCCTCTCGATCCGTGTAGCGTGTACCGGTAGCCTCCTCCTCCTCTCGTAGGAGTGCTCGAATGGATGGAGGGAGGTTGGAGTCGAGTCCCGCAATACCGGTAGGGTGATCCGCGGCTTCGCAACAGGGGACGGTGGAGGTACTGTTGCACCTAGTACCGGCAGAGCTACCGATAACCGGTTGTCTACCTAGTACCGGTAGCTCCAGTTAAAGAAAGCATCCGAAAACTGAGGGTCTTGAAGTCATTGACACTTCGAGTAGAAGCCACTAATGCTTAATGCTGAATGACGCTTTGGTTACCAGTTGCCAGTTACTCGAGCACAGTAATTTAAATAGTTGACAACCGACAAACAGAGTGTGAAAGCTCTACTCTACCGTAGCTAGCTACCGGTAGCTAGCTAGTAGACCGCTCCATAAGAAAGCTTTCTACGGTGTAAAAAGAAACAGAGAAATTAGAACCTGTGTGAAAGGAGTGTGAACGTGTGAAGAATCTCTACAGTCTACAGAATCGAATCGAATAACCGAATCATGTTGTATATTATGTGGATATCTGGAAGTCTTTTGTATTCGTCTAGGATTCGCTTCCCAATTGGATTTAATTAGCAGAGCCCGTGCCGGTATTGATAGCTCGCTTGATACACTTACTTTAGAAGTCTTGAAACATGCCACTGTGCCAGATGCCGCTTGAAGCGAACCCGACAGGCCCAAAGGCCCAAATAATATTCACCTTTGGAGCAGTACAGTACTAGTACTGGTAAGTTTTTGGCTTCCTTTTGTTGTGCTTCGAGCTGCTTACAGCGCCATTGCGGACTGGGTGATATACCATCAGACGGCTCATCAGACCGAGCAGCAAGTCATTTTAGACTGGAGACTGAGGCTCTCACAAGAAACACTTCAGGTCGCTCCTCCACCTGCAGATCTCCACCCTCGATTTAGTTGTGTCATTCCCACACCTCTGGATACCTCAAGACACCCGTTACCCGACTATTTCCAAGCCCGACCATGCCCAAAGACGCAACCGCACCGATTGTAGAAACCGACACGCAGAACGTATTGATTCCCGGTGTCGACGATGACTCGGTTTTCGCAGCAGACGAAGAGGCAACATTCAACTCGCAGTCCAGCCGAAAGAAGCGTACCACAGTCTATGAGAGCTCTGCTGCTGAAAAATCAAGGATCCGTATGTTCCGCTTCTTTGTTGTTGGCATGTTGCTCATGACCACTGTTGTGACTGTCACTGCCTACTATTTTTTGGATCGAGAGGAGAACAGGAACTTTGAGACAGCGGTAAGGCATCAATGGGCATGAAGGAGTTCTGGAATATTGGGACTGGATGACTTCCTCACACTGCCTGTCTTCTTTGGCTTTGCTTGCTTTACTTTACCTTTAGTACACACAATTTGCTAGGACACTCATTGATTCTGCCTTGGAACAGCAAAAGAGCTTGAGGGATTCCATGGCAACTCTGTCTAATGCAGTTACTGCTCATGCCCAAACAAACAACCTGGAGTGGCCTTATGTGGTTCTGCCCCTCTTTGAGTCATTTGCCATCAATTACTTCAAACATAGTGCTAGTGAATTTGTTGGAATCAATAACGTGGTGATGCACGATGATCGAGATGACTATATCAACTGGACTACTGCCCACTACAAGGACTGGATTGAAGAATCACACATCATTCGATATGGCAACACTGACTTGCTGGACACTGATCCTACACGGTACAACCAGTTCATTAGCAAGAACTCCCCCGATGGGGTAGTCCCTGATGATGTTCGAGAATATTATTCCCCTCGTGTCTCTCAGTCTCCTCCAATGAGGGGCTATGGTCCTACAATGAACCTCAACATTGGCAGCATTGGAACTAATGGCCAAGTCACAGAGGGAGTCATCAAGCTCCAATATGAAACTCTTGTCACACCACTCAAACCCTTCAATGCATTACCTGAAGAGGAGCACCAGAACTTCCACACAGACTCCAACGCTGACAACCCTCACAGTTTCATGTACCATCCAGTCTACAAAAATGTCATGGATCCCAGTAGTGGTGTTGTTGCTACAATTACATCATCCGTTGCATGGGATGCCTCCATGCAGGATTTGTTGCCGGACACTGTGAGAGGGATTCTCTGTGTTGTGGAAAACACATGTGGCCAGGTCTTTACTTATGAGATCAATGGCAAGGATGCCAACTTCCGTGGCAATGCTGATACACACAACCCCAAATATGATCACCTGGACGTTATGGTGGATCTGTCACTTCATTCCCATCCAAATTTCACCACCACCCCAGGTCATTGCCAGTATTCCATGGTATGTATTAAGGTTTGGAACGAGGAAGATCCACTTCGTACTTGCTTACACTGGTTGTCTTTTGTTCCATACTTTTGTTTCTAGCATGTGTACCCAACAGAGACTTTTGAGGATGACTACACCACTGCCATGCCAAGTACCTTTGCAGCTGTAGTTGTGGTGTCGTTCATTACTGTTGCCATGGTGTTCCTGGTCTATGATTGTTTTGTCAAAAGAAGGAACAAGGAATTGGTTAGAACTGCTACCCGAACTGACAAATTGGTATCCTCTCTCTTTCCTGGAGATATCAAATCAAAGCTTCTGGAGCAGCAGGATCGAAAGGGCAGCACTTTCTGGAATACAGGAGGAGAAAGGAACCCCCAGTCAGATATCAATGATCGGTTGGCGCAGGTATACCCTGAAACAACCATCTTTTTTGCTGACCTTGCTGGTATGTTTATTGGCACGACTCCTTTTGCTCCGATTGCTTTTATCCTCTCAATTCTGTCTCCTCCTGGCAGGCTTCACAAAGTGGTCTTCAGCTAGGCCCCCAGCAGAGGTCTTTGAACTTCTGGAGACCTTGTATAAGGCTTTTGATGGAGTGGCAAGAAGGAGAGCAGTTTTCAAGGTAGAAACGGTAAGTGGTTCCCGAGTGCATGTGCTGATGAAAGTTCTGTTTTTGTTTGCTCAGCCATGGTGCTTGCCCTTCTCTTTTCAGATTGGAGATTGCTGTAAGCCTTTGACTTGACCCAGTTGGGAGACATGATGTCTTAGCTCAAAGCTGACCTTTCTCTTGGCTTGGATTTGCTTACTGTCTTTATTGCTTCATGAAGATGTGGCTGCCACAGGAATCCCAGATCCACAACAATATCATGCAAGTATTATGGTACGATTTGCCACAGACTGCATGGCTCAAATGAAGACTTTGACCACTGAATTGGCAGAGTCTCTGGGCCCAGACACGGTGAGTATACTGATTTATGTGTCCTTCAGCGTGATGATTCATCTCCCCTGTCAAATGTTAGCTAAACCTGTGCTTGCGTTCTTCATTCCTTTGGGAAAAAAGACTGCGTTGCAGATGAGAGTTGGCATGCACTCTGGCCCTGGTGAGTCAAGTCCTATGAGTCTATGAGGTTCTAGGGTTAGATTTTTGTCTCACCTTGCCTCCCCCCTTCAATCCATCAGTGACAGGTGGGGTCCTCCGTGGCAGCAAGAGCCGTTTCCAGCTCTTTGGAGATAGTATGAACACTGCTAGGTAAGAGTGCTGGGAACCAAGGATTGTGCTGGGATGCCTCTTCTTGAATGAATCTAAGTGGCCTGTGCTTTCTTGTGGTGTCCTGTTGTGCTTGTGTAGCCGGATGGAAAGTAATGGTGTCCCAGGGCGGATTCATGTTTCGCAATCCACTGCAGATTTGTTGGTGGCACAAGGAAAGAGCGAATGGCTGACCCCAAGAGAAGACAAAATTGTGGCCAAAGGTATGGACGTCAAAATGTTCTGATTTGATTTGGCTTTTCTTTGATGCCATGCTCAAACATCCTTTCTATCTTTTTGTGTTCTTGTACCGTACAAGGCAAGGGAGAGATGCAGACATATTTTGTTGCCATAACAGACAACGCAGCAACAACAGTATCCTCACTTGGAGGATTCTCAAATGAATCATCGGACGACGACACAACCGGTTCCTCGGGAGAAGCCGGCAACCCGCCTCGGAAACCTAGGGTGTCGTTTGAAGAAGGCAAGTAGGCTCTCGTCGAGGAGGAGCGTATCAGACTCGGCTCGTCACAGCAAGTGGCTGCCGGGGGCAAGGATGCATTATCAGTGTGTATAATAACGGAAACAAATCTAAAGCAAGGCTCGCAGTTGATGAGGACAGAGTTTGGCGGCACCCCGCAAGCTGCACACAGGCGCAACCAACAGTGTACCAGGGGCGGCAGGTTAATCTCTGTGTGTGTGCCTCTAGCTATGATCCCATTTGGTTTTGTTTCCAGTTGTCCGCCTACGTAGAAATCAGCTAAGACGCAGCCGCGTTGCTTGCAAGCAATGACTTCAATCCTTTCATCCTCCGTTGCGCCCCCTTCACTACAACAACGTAAACAACTAACTACCTGGTACCTGGTACTGGCCAACGAACGAATGGGTTGCCAAACGACAGGATTGGGCCTGTTCTTGCAGTGAGGTTGTTTTGTGCCGTTGGGGAAACATGAGACCGTGTGCTTTTTGGGCCCTGAACTGCAGTTGTTTTGAGACTCGGCTTGCTGGACCCTTTGAGGGGAACAATAGTTCCACTTTCGAAACAATGGTGTCAACCAGCCAGTGGCCAAGGAAGCAAGTACCATAATATCAGCATTGAACGTCTTCCAACATCAAATGGTCAGGGAAGAAGAAACAAGAAGAGAAGGCAGAATGCATGGTTCGATTCTGAATTCCGAAGTACCGCCGGTACGAGAATGGCACCGCTTCCTGCTTTGGAAAGACCATCAACTCTCGAGATAGGTTCATCACACACAGACCATCCATCCATAGGCCATAGGCGGCACACATTCGGGCCTCAATCACCAGGAACTGTCCTGAAAAGGAAGCATCGCATGGCCGTTGGTTTGGCCATTGCTGGACCATTGGCACCAAGACTGCTTCGTCCCCGTATCGAACGAACTGAGCACCTAACAAGCTATTGCTGTTGCCTCGTATCAAGCTGATCAAGCTGTATCAGCAGTGTTGCAGTGCAGTTCTATTCGTGCTGCATCACCCTTTGGCAACCGATGCTGCCCCTTTGTGCACCCTTTCTAGTACCCCCAGCAACCAGAGCTCCCCCAGCCACATCTGCGAGAGCAAAAAGCGATCGGCGAGAATTGTCTTGGACGCCTTGGATCTTGGATGCTGGTCCTCGTTCGTTGTATTGGACCGCAGCGTGCTTTCTGGGCCCCAAACTGCAGAGATTTTGAGACAACTTGCTTTCACGGCAGGACCATTTGAGGGGAACTGGAAACTTGTCAACCAGCCAGTGGCCAAACAAGTAAGTACCGGCCATTGGACTTCTTCCAACACCAAAATTTGATAGCCAAATTCCAGGGTCCAGGAGGTATGGAAGCCGCAGAAACAAGAGAGAAAGAAGGCATGATTTCATTTCGAAGCACTGCCGATACGACGATGACACCGCTGCCAGCTACTGGGAAGACCAGCTGCTGCTTTCACTCCCATCAATTGAGTCTTCATGCATCGAAACCGAACAATGAACAAACCATCCATAGGCCATAGGTGACACGGAACCATCCATCCATCGGCATACCGGTAGGCGGGAATACTAACTACTCGAGTAGGTGGATATATGGGCGTAGGGGTGGCCATTTATTAGTTTGGCTGCTGGCACAAAGACTGCATCGTCCCCGTATCGCCTTATCGAACTGAACCCCCAATCACAAGCTGTACCACTACCGGTAGCTGGCTGCCTCTCCCTTGATCCCTTGACACTCCTTGAGAGCTTGGAGAGCTCCTCTATTGGCATGGACGAATGACAGTCATAGACAATGGAGAGCCCCTGAAACGCACGCGGTTGTATTATACGTATAACATTTTCACTATGTATTCTACAGATCATACGAATTACACATATAACCTTTTTAATATGTATTAGACAAGTCATACGTACAACA